AGCCGACATACAAGTACACCCATATTTACGCTTCAAGCCGTAGTGAATGTTTCCTTGTGGCTGGCTTGATGCTGTACCAGTGAAATTATCTCATATGTACTAATGTCACAGTGTTGTGCCCTTGTTATTGAACCTCAATTTATATAACAAACAAATTTCCTCAGTGTGTAGGAAGAATCCATGATATTTTCGTAAGATTGCTTTGAAAAACAAAGACATTTTTGCAAATTTTAAAAGTTGAGATGATATGTATCGTCCCTGTTCATGTAAGTAATTTGTGGTCCCATTCTCGCTCGGGTATGGTGGGTGCCCTGTTGCTGGATTGTCTCAACATATGCTATATCTTCACACCGTACATTTTCAGATAATACAGAAATACAGAGCATATTTTGTTAGTCTTACTTACTTACTTACTTACTCATGGAGCTGAGCCCTTCTTGAGAAAAAGCCAAATCTGCAGCTACTCAAGAATTCCTCAGCATTTTATGGAACCCGAAGGTTCATTACCGTGTTCACAAGAACCCTCCACTGTCCCTATCCTGACCCAGATCAATCTAATCCACACCATCCCGTCCTATCTCTCTAACATCCATTTTAATATTGTCCATCCACCTATTCCTTAGTCTTCCCAGTTGTCTCTTTCCTTCTGGCTTTCCCACCAATATCCAATATGCATTCCTTTTCTCCCCATTCGTGCTACATCCCCTGCCCACTTCATCCTCATTGACTTGATCATTCTAATATCTGATAGCCTTAGGGCAGAAATTTAAAATTAAAATAGGGATAACTTTACAACCACGAGGAATTGTTAATCTAGAAGATGTTACATGATTATGCTTTCGAGTTTTGTGTTAAGACCTAATGGACGGCGTACTCATTACTTCCTCTATATCATTATCCCATTACGTTTTACCGTCCACACAATTAGGTTACTTTATATGCATGTATTATATAATTACTTGTCGCTAATTCAGGAGAAGAGACTCAGAACAGAATTAGACATGACATGAAAGAGATTCAGCCAAGGTCTTCGAAAACCATGTTGTATAATTGTAGGAAATAGTATTTTATTTCTGTGAGTATTTCACAGTGATTGAAAAGCTTTCGTGTTCCGATTGTAGAGCCCTTTTGTTGGGCCTTGGCAGCTTTTTCAGTTTCGTAATCTACATACAGTCGGTAGGACCACTTGGACGGGGGATCAGCCCGTAGCAAGGTCTCTATCTACGCACAGAATAAACGTACCCAGACATCCATGCCTCGAGTGGGATTCGCACCCACTACCCCAATGTTTGAGCGGGCGAAGACAGTTCATGCCTTAGACCGCGCGGCCACTGTGAAGGGCGAAAAGCATATCTTCTAGGATTAATAGCACGTCACGCGATACAAATAAACTACCAAGGATGCCTTGGTCTTCTATTCTGAAAGTTTTTGGTTTGAATATCTGTCGAAACACCGGCTGTCCAGAGATTTTGTAGTTTTTGTCACTTGAGGTAAACTCCTTAATACTGCTTTGTTTATACCACGAAAATTTCCACCCCAAACTTTAAATTAATTGTTCACCCGTGACCTACCGTTCTTTGCTTATAGTTACAGAGTTACATGCCATATATACACGTACTTACAGGTGGGACTTTCTGTCTTTTGTATTCTCATGTATTTCATGTCCGAATGTTCCGACAGAATTACGTGATGTTTAGTTTTCGGGTTCTACGCTCAGATTTGTAAGCCACATTTGGTTCTGGTTCGTATCCCCTCACTATAATTGAAATTTTGCATGAATATGAATCGATTTTTTTTTCTTATATCCTGAAAGAACTGTTCGTCAGAAACATTGTAGGCATGATTCTCTGGATTTTACTGCACCTGCATATTTTTTAAGATCTCGAGATAAGGTTTGAATTATCAGTAACATGGATAATATTTTTAACAGTTCCTTTGTACCTGGCCACTTCAAGGAATATCATATACACAGTCTTACAAGGCGACATATTTCAGCATAATAGTGCCACCTCAGACCAGAAATACACAATTACAAAGGTAAAGGTAAAGTAAGCCTCTAACAGGCCGTGGAAGCCCATAGGGTTGTGATACATTGAGGCTCCCACATTTTCTAGACAATCGGCTCACAGATGGCGGTGAGGTCAGCCTTACGCGCCGAACGCCCCTTACTCCCCCCCCCCCCCCCGCTC